CACATACGTTGCCCAGCTGGGCATATGACAGTGCGGACCAGCTTCCGGCAGCACTACCATCTCCGCGTGCATATAGCCTACTCAACTTACGACCAAATTGTGTTACGACCGGTCCGTCGGAACCAATCGTGGTCTTAAGTCGATCACTGGCTGTATTTATTTATTTATTTGGAGACGGAGTCTTGCTCTGTCACCCAGGCTGGAGTGCAGTGGTGTGATTCCCCTGCCTCAGCCTCCCAAGTAGCTGGGACTACAGGCACACACTGCCATGCCCAGCTAATCTTTTGTATTTTAGTAGAGATGGGGTTTCACTGTGTTGCCCAGGCTGGTCTTGAATTCCTGAGCTCAGGCAATCTACCCACCTTGGCCTCCCAAAGTGGTAGGATTACAGGCGTAGCCACTGCACCCAGCAATATTTGGATCTTTTTAATTCCACTAGTTATCCTGCCTGTGCCCTTGCAGGTCTGTGCCACCATTAGAATCAAGCTCACTCTTCAGAACTTCCCTCTGTGGCAAAGCTTACTTCTGCCAGAGTTGGAACTACTTTCTGCAGGAAGATGGATCGCCATCAAGCCTCAGCTGATTCCATCAATCCTCTCATGCTTGATGCATAGCAATGACCTTGTGTTTGATTTTTTTTTTTAAAGAGATGAGATACTTTGTTATTTAATTACCACCACATCCAACCAAATGCCAATAGTATCCCTCTAGTGAGACAATAAAAAATGTCTCTGGGCATCCCTGGGGGCAGAATCTTTTCCAGTTTAGGACTACTGATATAACCAAAGCCAAAAAGAGGGCTCATCATCAAAATCCACAGGTGTTCTTAGAAACGTCACCAAGTTGCTATTAATTGCCTTTCTGAGAACTTGAGAAATGTGTCACAATCTCTGGGAAGAAGGATACACGGGTTGCAAAAATATATTCAGTGTTGTAATATCATTCTAACTTGAATTACCCATCAAGAAAAGAAACCTATTTTTTTTTTTGTGATACAAACTGAGAGTTTAATAAGATTTTTACGTGTATCGAAAGGGCTTACAGGCCAGGCCCAGTAGCTCATGCCTGTAATCTCAGCACTTTGGGAGGCCAAGGTGAGTGGATCACTTGAGGACAGGTGCAGAAGAGTAATGTATTTAAATAAATATTATTCCTACTTGCTTTCATAGAATGTTTTTGTTAATTCAAACAGGAAAATGCCATCTCAGAATCACTGGTCACAAAACCAAGATGTGAAAAGTACTGTAATAAGTTACCACTTTATTTGCAGGAATCATTGTAGTCAATCATTTTCCAGTTCTCAGCTGCTCAGCTGTGATCAAGGGACATGTGGTTTCTGAACTGCCAGCTCAGAATAGGAAAATACGTGGTAAGGGAGGCAGCATGAACCAACCCAACCCTGGCAAGTTATGAAACCTTTCCAAGCCTTGAATGTCTATGAAATGGGATTGATCACAGCTACCTCATGGGATCCACCATGGTGATTACTGAGATAATGTTTCTAGAGTGTTTAGCAAGGCACCTGGCATATAGGGTGGGAAAAGGAATAGGAATGCAATCGAACATGAGTCTTTAGTTTCTAATGAATTGAATTTTTCTCTTTCCTGAAGTGTTCCTACATTCTTAGAATTTTAGAGCAAGATTCTAAAGACTTTGTGGTCCAATCCTTTTATTTTTAGGATGCAGAAATAGACCAAGTAATTTAAGCAAAATCATTTCACTAGCAATTGGCAAAGCTTGTCTTCAAGTCCAAAGCTGTTCCATTTTTCCAGCTGTAGTATTTGAATACAACTCTACGGAGAACCAAACGTCATTGGCGTGGCAAATCATACCTTGCTTCTTCCCTGTGATGCCACGGTCATGCATTGCTGCCCATCTCTGTCTCATTTTGTGTCCAATGATGTTCCTTAGAAGTGACTGTGAGAATTTTGAGATTACAAAATTGATACAGGAAATCTTTGGGAAACACAAAAATCACAAAGAAAATAAAAATCAGCTGTGATCTCATCTTCCAGAGATCATCTACTTCTGACTTATTTTATTTTTTTCTGAGACGGAGTTTCGCTCGTTACCCAGGCTGGAGTGCAATGGCGCGATCTCGGCTCACTGCAACCTCCACTTCCTGGGTTCAGGCAATTCTCCTGCCTCAACCTCCTGAGTAGCTGGGATTACAGGCACGCGCCACCATGCCCAGCTGATTTTTTGTATTTTTAGTAGAGATGGGGTTTCACCATGTTGACCAGGATGGTCTTGATCTCTTGACCTTGTGATCCACCCGCCTCGGCCTCCCAAAGTGCTGGGATTACAGGCATGAGCCACCGCGCCCAGCCCTGACTTATTTTTAATTGGAAATGCTGCATCTTAATTTCTGAGGTTTTTTGGTGTTACTGTTAGTATGGCTCTTCATACTTTGTAATCCATCCTCCTGGCTGCTAAATCAAAAATGGCTTAGTGAAACGAATGTGAGGTCCAGATGAGGCTCAGGTGACAACTGACTGGGTGGTCTCAGATAAGTCACTTCCCACCTGAAAACCTACCTTATATCTCTATACACTTACCTATTCCTTGTAGGTTTATTAAAAAGGTATTAAAAAAAAAAAGATTTGCCTATTTCTGACTTCTCACTTAAATGCAATTATATAATCTGTAGTCCTTTGTGACTGTCTTCTTTCACCTAGCATAATGTTTTCAAGGGTTCTTCCATATTGTATCACATATCAGTACTGCATTCCTTTTTGTCGCCCAGTAATTTTGCATTATATGAATCTACCACGTTGTGATTATCCTTTCATCAGTTCATGGACATTTGGATTGCTTCCATTTTGGGACTGTTATGAATAATGTTGCTATTAACATTTGTGCACAAGTTTTTGTGTGGACATATGTTTTCAGTTCTCTTAGGTACATACATAGGGGTGGAACTGCTGGGTCATATGATAACTATGTTTAACTTTTTGAGGAATTGCCAAACTGTTTTCCACAGTGACTGTACCATTTTATATTCCTACCAGTGGTCTACAAGAGTTTCAGTTCCTCCGTGTCCTTGACAACACTTTTTATCTGACTTCTTGATTGTAGCTATCCCAGTGGATGTGAAATGGTATCTCATTGTGATGTTGATCTGCATTTCTCTGATAGCTAATGATGTTGAGTATTTTTTGTGTATGCTTATTGGTCATTTGTATATCTTTTTTTGAGATGGAGTCTCACTCTGTCACCCAGGCTGGAATGTAGTGGTGTAATCTCGGCTCATTGCAACCTCTGCCTCCAAGGTTTAAGTGACTCCATCTCGAAAAAAGAAAGATCCAGCATCATTCTTTCATGTGTGGATATCGAGTTGTCCTAGCATCATGTATTGAAAGTAATACATTAAAAAATATGCAGTCGTCCTTTGGTATATGTGGGGAATTGGTTCCAGGACTCCACATACGCCTAAATCGTTGCAGATTCAAATTTCACAGTTGGTTCTGCAGAATCTGTTTATACAAAAAGTCATACCTTTGTATATGTATACGCAGTTTTTGTATCCTGAAAATACTGTATTTTCGATCCTGGGTTGGTTGAAAAAAATCAGCTTTTAAGTGGACCCACACAATTCAAACCCATGTTGTTCAAGTCTCAACTGTAGTTTGTACCATCCTTTTATCTGAATGTGGTGGGCTCTTCTCTCCTTCCCCCAGTTCCTCCAAGTCTAGATTACATGCCTTTTAACCCACCATTTGAAGTCTTCTGATTCTGATTTAATTGGTCTGAGTTGAGGCCCAGGTATGAGCATTTATTAAATGCTCTGTAGGTGATTCTAATGGGCAAGCCACATTAAGACCTAATGAACTAAACACTTAGTAGTCATAAAGAGGGCCAAACAGGAGTGATTGGGAGGCACACTGCTGGAGGAGGAGATGTGCTGGTGTGTGCTGGGTTGTGTTGGAACAACATGACTGTGTCCTCCATCCTACAGGTGGCAGTATCTCCTTACTGAGAGGATACACATGTACTATGTCAGTGCTTTTTGAGACTAGAAGCATTGTAGGAATGAAGTATGTGATATAAAAGGACCCTCTGTATTTAAAAAAAAAAAAAAGCCCAGTGGAAGAGAGCATAAACCCGAAGAAGCACTTCTTCCTCCTGTAAGTGAAGAAAAATATTGTTTTACAACATAAACACTTTTTAAAATAACTATTTAATGATTTTATCTTATTTTATTTCTCTAGAAATGGGATCTCATTCTGTCTCCCAGGCTGGAGTACAGTAGTGTGATTATAGCTCACTGCAGCTTTAAACTCCTGGGTTCAAGCAGTCCTCCTACCTCAGCCTCCCAAGTAGCTGGAACTACAGGTGTGTGCCACCAGGCCAAGCTGATTTTTAAAATTTTTCTTTTCTTTTTTTTGTAGAGGCGAGGTCTCATTATATTGCCCAGCCTGGTCTTAAACTCCAGGTCTCAAGTGATCCTTCTGCCCTGGCCTTCCGAAGTGCTGGGATTACAGGCATGACCTACTACCCCCAGCCTTGGAACTATTTAATTTTATTTTACAAATGGTACAGAGAGAACTCTACTTTGCCCCGTTACTTTTTACCTTTTATTCTATGGGCATGATGAAACAATCTCGCTTTAAAATAACTACAGTATATAAGAACACAAATTGAATTTTAAAATTAGTTGAAAATCTTAGGTCTTTTGAGTATATAAAATAAATATCATATGCCCTTTATTTTCTAAAAGTGTATTTGTAGAAAAGCATAAGGACCCTGGTTGCTCTAGAAGAAATTTTTTTAAAAAGGAGAAAGAAAAGTATGAGGACTGCAAGCTGCATGGCATAGTTTTTGTGTTGTCTAAAATCTGCTCTGCCAAGAACAAAACTGATCAGCCCGTTGCTCTCAGTAAATCTCACCTTCAGTGATCAGCTCTTCCTCTTGTGTTGCTAAAAGTATATGGTATAATTGAAAAGAAATAATTGATTAACAACACTGTTCATAATCCATTTTTTTTTTTTTTATTTTAGGAAATTACCAGTAGCAGCTCTCCTGGCATTGGTGTCAGAAATCTTTTTGGATGTCGTTAGTGCTTCAGGGTCTCATTAGGATATATTGTGCTCTAGACCAGTGCTCCTCAGTGCTTGAAAACTAGTGCAGGTCTGTACACTGTTCCTGGCCCACAGTTAACTAATCTTTTAAAACTTGTATGGCAGTTTGACATTGTCTCAGTGTATTCGTTGTGTTTTATAAAAGTATTGGTCTGCAGAGGATTGAGGAAAACATAAAACCAGTCCTTCTCTATAGATGGTCATGTAGCTTTGAGGAGGAAGTCCCTAAAGAAACCACCTTTCTTTTTACATTGATTTTCTCTCTGTCTCTCTCAGGGATTTTCTATTGGAAGACATGGATCTTGCTGCCAACGAGCTCAGCATTTATGACAAACTTGCAGAGACTGTTGATTTGGTGAGACAGACAGGACATCAGTGTGGCATGTCAGAGAAGGCAATTGAAAAATTTATCAGACAGCTGCTGGAAAAGAATGAACCTCAGAGGGCACCCCCCCAGTATCCTCTCCTTATAGCTGTGTATAAGGTAAAAATGTGTCCTGAGTTGGTAATTGCATCGTCAGAGCACAAACTCTTCAGCATTCTTCACAGATACTGTTGTTGACTGATCCTACCACTGAGCCTTGGTTTTTCTGTTAATAAATTGGCCTTCACTCTTGTTACCATGTGTTACTAGGAAATTTGACTGTGTTGTTAAAGGTCCTAGATGAAACCTGCATATTTATGGTTATATTTTTGTATTCTTATTTACTTATTTAATATTTATTATTATTTGTTTCGGGAGTGTGTTTGTGTTTGTTTTTGAGATGGAGTCTCCCTCTTGTTGCCCAGGCTGGAGTGTAATGCTGCAATCTCAGCTCACCACAACCTCCGGCTCCTGGGTTCAAGGGATTCTTCTGCCCCAGTTCTCCTGAGTAGCTAGGATTACAGGGATGCACCACCACACCCAGCCAATTTTTAGTATTTCCACGTTGGTCAGGCTGGTCTTGAACTCCCAACCTCAGGTGATCTGCCTGCCTCAGCCTCCCAAAGTGCTGGGATTGTGGGTGTGAGCCACCACGCTCAGCCTTAGGGTGTGTGTGTGTATGTTTGAGACAGAGTCTCGCTCTGGTCCCCAGGCTGGAGTTCAGTGGCATGATCTCAGCTCACTGCAACCTCTGCCACCCAGGTTCAAATGATTCTCCTGCCTCAGCATCCCAAGTAGCTGGGATTACAGGCATACACCACCACACCTGGGTAATTTTTAGAGACCAGCCTGGCCAACAGGGTTTTACCATGTTGGCCAAGCTGGTCTGAAACTCCCGACCTCAAGTGATCTGCCCGCCTCAGCTTCCCAAAGTGTTGGGATTACAGGCGTGAACCACCACGACTGGCCAAATTTTTTATTTTTCGAGACAAGGTCATACTGTTGCCTAGGCTGGAGTGCAGTGGTACCATCATGGCTTACTGCAGCCTTGAACTCCCAGACTCAGTTGATGCTCCCATCTCAGCCTCCCAAGTACCTGGGACCATAGGCATGCGCCATCACATCTGACTAATTTTTCTATTTTTTGTAGAGATAGGTTTTTTTCCATGTTGCCCCGGCTGGTCTCAGACTCCTGGTCTCAAGCGATCTGCCTGCCTCAGTCTCCCAAAGTGTGCTGGGGTTACAGGTGTGAGCCACTGCACCCAGCCTTTGTGTATTTATTTTATTTATTTATTTATTTTTTTGAGACAGAGTTTAGCTCTTGTTGCCTAGGCTGGAGTGCAGTGGTGCTATCTCGGATCACTGCAACTTCGGCCTCCCAGGTTCAAGTAATTCTCCTGCCTCAGCCCCCCAAGTAGCTGGGGTTACAGGCATGCACCACCATGCCTGGCTAATTTTGTATTTTTAGTAGAGATAGGAATTTCACCATGTTGGTCAGGCTGGCCTCGAACTGCTGACCTCAGGTGATCCGCCTGCCTTGACCTCCCAAAGTGCTGGGATTCCAGGTGTGAGCCACTGTGCCCGGCTCCTTTTTGTATTTTTAAATGGTGGACATAGCTTCTGATTATGTGGTAGCAGCTTGGTGAGCCTTGCAGTCCTCATAGTTCTCAATTTCTAAATTCTTCTAGAAGTAACATTAAGTAGCTTGTTTATGAAAATGGATTAGTTCTTAAGGCACATTGGAAATAGCAGAAGTGGCCTTTTTGGTTTTTTCTTGGTCTTGGTTTTAAGGTATTTTGTTTGCTGGGATGATTATTAATGGCTTTTCTATCTTTCCTTGCAGGTTCTCGCAACCTTGGGATTAATCATGCTCACTGCCTACTTTGTGATTCAACCTTTCAGCCCATTAACACCCGAGCCAGTGCTTTCTGGAGCTCACACCTGGCGCTCACTCGTTCATCACATTAGGTTGATGTCCTTGCCCATTGCCAAGAAGTACATGTCAGAAAATAAGGCAGTTCCTCTCCATGGGGGTGATGAAGACAGACCCTTTTCAGGTAAAATGCTACATTTACTACTTATTGGATATGGTTTTCTTGACAGTATATGATAGGAAAGGAAGTAATTTTATTGATACCGAATGAGAGGCACCCTCCCTATATTGTCTCCTTTAATTCAGTCCCCACTAAAATTCTATGAGATGGGGTTTATTATCCCCATTTTACAGATTAAGAAACCAAAGCTCAGAGGGATTAAGACACTTGCTAGAGGAACATCTAGTAGAGCCAAATTCAAACCCCCAAGTTCCAGAATACACATGGAGGGGACGAGTGTGTTTGCCCATAAGAATTTGACTGCGTCTCACCCTTTTCTCTCCTGTGAATCCTGTCCGTAATGCATATTTAATACATAGCTATTAGTTTGTTGAAAGCAACTGAGTTCAGCTTGCTTCTAAAGGTCCTCTAACCGTCCTTGGCCTTTTGGGCTAGGTTTTTGTCTAGGTATATCCCACTCCTTCAGTGTAGTCCTTCTCTCTGTCACAGCTCACTTAATTTAGTGCTTAAAAGTATGTCAATTTGGCCAGTAAATCGAATTTTAAAAACCCTTAAATTTAGTAACAGTGCATCAGTGGCATAAGAGTTCATAGTCTGACAGACTATATGAGGGGTTTCCTTTTGAGAATAGTGTAACATGTAATAAGAGTTGAAATGTACGTGTGGTGGTTTACAACTATAATCCCAACACTTTGGGAAGCTGAGGCAAAAGGATTGCTTGAGCCCAGGAGTTCAAGACCAGCCTGGGCAACATAGCGAGACCCTGCCTCCAATTTTGTGTGTGTGTGTGTGTGTGTGTGTGTGTGTGTGTGTGTGTGTGTGT